ATTTAAAAACTGCATTTTGTGTTTACTTGTGTTATCTTTGTCTAATATTTAAATTTGTTTGATGATCTGAAACATTTAAGTGTGATAAACATGCAAAAAAATAAGAAATCAGGAAAGGGGCAAACACTTTTTCACACAACTGTATATATTGTGTTTGGAAGCATCATGATTCTCCCTGTAATTGAGAGTGCCCACAATGTTCTGCTCGGTCAGAGAGATGGGCACCGAAATGTACTGTTAACTGATGTATTTACACCACAACACTCTGTCACAAGGTAAACAACAGAGCTTGAATCACATTTTCATCACTCAATCATATTTATATTGAATCAGTCGGGTTTATTGCCAACCGGGTTTTCGCATCCAAGGAATTTGCCTTGGTGTTTGGTGCAAAACAATAAAGTTAGTAATAGAAAATACAGATAAAAGTAAGTAATGCAACAGTCTAGAAACATAATTATAATAATCTATTTTAAAAACAAAGAGCTGTACAGTTTTATGCAATGTGCAAAATATCACAGAATAGATTAGAGAATATGTGCAATCATGTACAGAGATGATGATCCAAAAGGGTCGGCCGACGTCTCCGTAGGGTCCTGGCAGCCTACATGTGGTCTAAAAGGCAACCTATACATGGAAATGTATGAACTATAAGGCAAATACAGCACCCTGTATTCTGAGTATTTTTTAAGTAAGTCTTTCCCAGCGGCATTGTGTTTTTGAGCAGCTGTTAATTGTGGCTCCTGTAAAATCAAAAGGTTAGAGTCAAAGATCTATCCTCATAAAGGTGATGGTGAAACAGAACAATGATGTTCTTACTTGCAGCAGAGGTGGTAGAAGTACACATCTTTTATTGAGTAAAAGTAAATACTGCTCTAAACATTCTCTGTTACAATGAAAGTCACACATTCAAGATTTCACTTAAGTTAAAGTACTATTAACAGAAAAAAAATGTATTATATATGTATGTGTATATATGTACAGTATATACAGTATGTGTATGTTACAAATACATAGTTACTGATTGTATTGTTACGGATGCTTTAACGATATTGCAATATTTTAAAGTTACAGCTTTGTGGAAGTGGAACACATTTTAACAAATGTATGTACTGTTTGATCTGTAGTACAATATGATATTTTATAAATTTGTCTCAAGTTTTGTTTGTAAAATCTTCATCTGTGAAGTAAGTAGTAGCTAAAACTGTCAGATAAATCTATTGAAGTAAATTGTACAATATTTCCCCCTGAGATGTAGTAAAGTAGAAAGTAGAATGAAATTCAAGTACTCGAGTAGAGTAAAAGTACATACAAATAGCACGTTAGACAGGGCATTTGAGACGGATGAGGGAGTGCCAAAAGTACAGTGTTTTCTCATAATGTACTGCCATTGACTGAACCCTAAATTTGGAACTGATTATAGGGGAAGTAGAGTTAGTGTTCATTGAATTACTTTCAGTTAGTTCCAGACTCCAGTTGATTGGATTTTTTTTGTCATCGCACAACAAATCAGCTAGAGGTACAAAAATGTAAATGACAAACCTGTGTAGTTCTGAGCAGTATTTACATGTTTCAAATTATGTCTTTTAGTTTTTCCGGTCATTACAATTTTTGTTGTTCTTTTTAAGATTATTTCCTCAGGAACTCAACAAAAGTTTTTTTTTTAAATGATAGATTACTCCTTAAAAACTCGTGAATGAATGGATATTCACTCTACTGTCTTAAAACATTTTCTCCATTTCCCTAAAATTTAGGATGAAATTATGAGACTGTGATCAGACATAACAGATAATCAATTTTAGGGCAAATTTCAGCCTTCACTATGGAGTTTTGATCCATCTGCAATTAAATGAGCAGTTTATTTCCATGTCATCTTCTAACGTCTCGTGTAGTATGATAAGAGTAGCTGCAGTAAGTTTAGATTGATCAGATATAGAGTCCAAGGTTCATTTCTCAGATGGTTTGGAAGCTCCACTTGATGAGAACATGTTGACCGCTTTTAGACCTCACGGGGTGGAGGAGATGCACTGAATGTCCCCAGCTCTTTGAAAAATATATTGTGTAGTTCCCGAAGTTCCCCTTGGTCCACAATACAGATAGATTTGCAGACGACCACAGAAAGTGATTCTCTGATTATAAATGCAAGCTTCAAATAGAATGGTAGGATCAGCTACGACTCTAACCTACATTGACATGGTACCATCTGCAGGGGGAAACGAAATTGAGAAAAGGACCTGGTACCAGAAGTGAGTCAAGTTGAGCCAAACCATTTAATGGAAATGAGGCAATAGTCATTTGAGCTTGTATCGCTCTATTCACATGAAAACATAGTCCAAGAAGGGCAAGGATTTATTATAAAAACATTGCTTTCCTCTTGGCTTACAAATTGTTCACATCAATAACTACAGACAGCGTACATCCTTATTCTTCAGTGTAGCCTTCAAAATTGTATTCATAATGTAATAGCCTATTGATTACATTGTATAGACAGTCTAGGCGTCTTTGGACTTATAGTTCACGTAAAGGACAATGGGTCTGCATTGTGTTGGCTGATTGTTTTTTTTTCTGAAACCAGATGATGAAAGGAAGAAAGTAAGATAAGAATAGTGTACAAAGCCATGTACTGCTGTTATAGCTGCATCTGATGATTGCTGTGATTTTTAATATTGAATATACTGTATGTAGAAACGTGGCTGTCGATAAATCCTGATAATTATTTATAAGTTCTGTGTTTAAAGTATGCAATATTTAGTAATCACTCCTTGAGCTAACTTCTACAGTCAGATCACTGGGGGCTTATGTCAAAGTAGTGCTTTACATCTTTTACATGTTCTTGATCTGCTTCCACCTGACAATCAACACATGAGTGTTTTCCTTTTTTATGTTGCTGGATTTATACATTGCATGCCTGTCTTGATAAAACATCGCAATCCACCTTTATAAAATCTGTCAAAAAATTAACTTTTTTGTTTACAAAATAAGAAAAATACTATTCATCTCTGAGCTACAGCTCCCTCCACAAAAGTTATGACTTCAATTGTTGTCCGTTGTGCATATCAACATTCACAGACTGTTGTTTCCAATGCAGATTATTGTGGTGGAAGATACTCTTTTTAACCTCCCTGTGAGAAAACTCTCTGAATGGATAGAGCTCTTTCCCCAGCCTTGGTATCGTCTTCATGGGAAGAGGGTTAAGTGGTGAGATCAGGATGACACTACAGCAAGCCAGACATGAAAATACCTTCGATGTGATAACATTTATTATTTGGGTTTGGATGAGTTTGGATGACCTCGTCTACATATGTTTCGGTTTAAGCGATGCAAGTTGCATCTAAAAGAACATGATCAATTGCAACAACAATTATCACCTTAATTTTCTACCCAATTTTGAAGCTCTAGCGTGAGTTCAGTCTCTCAGTACGTTCATGCTGCTGTCACTCGCGCCCCTCCACTTCCCCATCAGTCCTCCCCCCACGTCATTTCATCAGCCACCACCACTACAGTCTGGACTCTATGGGGGAATTTATCTTGCTGCTCCTCAGGGAATAGAACCCTCAATTACAAATCTACTTGTAGAGTCTAAGAGCCAAAGACTAGACTTTATAATCACATCATCAATTGTAATGATCAAATATATTTTCTTCATTCAGTTGTCCGTCCTGATTAAAATCTCTGTGGTCGACAAATTATTCCACCTCATGGTGTTCCAACTTGTAAAGACACTGGATTCAAGCCAGAAGCTTTGAGAACAACAATCATCCAGAATAATTGTGAATCCCAGCTTCCAAAATAGTTAGCTGGAAATGAAAGTTTGGATTAAAGGAATAGTCTGACATTTTGGAAGATATGCTCATCCAATTTCTTGTAGAGATTTGGATGAGAAGATTGATATATCTTTAATGAATGTTAAGTACGGAGCTACAGCCAGGATGGAATTATCTTAGTTTAGCAAAACAATGGAGAACAGGGGAAACATCTATCCTTGCTCTGTCAAAGTTTAATAAGGACCCCAATCACATCTCCAAAGTTCACTAATTAACATGTGGCATAATCGTTGTACATCCTCAAACTAAAATTAGTAGTTTAATGGGTTGTTATAAATATGCAACTTTTGTTTGTTTACGAGAAAACTCCACAGGACACATTTAAGCAGTGAACAGGTAGGTGTTTTTCTTCTTCTTACTTTGAACAGAGGTTAGCTTTTCCCCCCGATTCCAGTCGTTATGCTAAGCTAATTTAATTGCCTCCTGGCTCCAACTTCATACTTAATTAGAGTGAGATCAATCTTCTGACCAAACTCTCTGCAAGAAAGCCAATAAGTGTATTTCCCTGTCATACAATTCCTTCAAACCTGAATCTGACTGATTTTATATTCACGCATTTAGTTTACATTGGATCCGAGAGCTCAACGCACTGCAAATTAAGAACACATGTGCATATAGTCAAAACACAAGCAAATTAAGAAAACAAATTACTTCTCTGCTCTTAGCTGTAAAGTTATCAAGTGGTAGTAAATGTTTCAGTAAATAAATAAACACTGCAGCTCCTCAAGTAAAGTTCCTTTGTCTTGCTTCTTAACTGCTCGGTGAAGTGAAGTAGATTAGCCTCAACGTGAGCATCAACTTTGGCCCTGGAGGGAAAGCAAAGTTTCCCCTGAGCTTCCCGACCACCGGATTTGTTTAATTTGTTTATCAGCAAATAGTTAAGTCAGAGCTGCCTATTCTTTCATTACAGAAAGGGTCGGTATACATTTGCAAATGTTATCTATACAATTAAACTGCAACTTATTTTGACTTGTTTTAAACTATAATCAGTTTCACTAGATAAGAAAACATGAAAACATCAATGTATTTCAATTTGATGAGGATATTCTAATACCTATACATTTGTAGATGGAAAGGGCAAGCAGGAATAATTATTATTTAGCTTCAAGGCATTTTCTCTAATCAACAAATGAA